TCTGCTTTCTTCAGGCCTGTCTTGACAATACATTTGGAAAAGGACATTTTTAATTTTCCCTAAATAATGCTGTTGCTGCTGTTAGCTACCATTCGGTCTTGTTGGCCCCCAACTCATGAGTACCCTGCCTTGTTGGATGCCATTATCGGGATTCGATCACCAGGTCTTTCCTCTTAGTCTGTTTTAAGCTCCACCAAAACCCTTTGCATGGCGTAGCAGCATGAAAGCCTCCACTGACAGCTGAGGGTAACTGTATATGAGGCACACTGACTGGTAACGAACCTAGATCTCCTGCAATGAAGGTGTGAATTTTTTCTCTTTGAGAATTTAGGTTGACATCAGTTTCAGCTCAATTAATTTTATTGCAATTAAGTAAATGTTGATGAGGGTGATCTTGAAAGGAGACAGCCTGCCTTAACTCTGCCTGCATCCCTCACACAAGGAAAGTTTCTACAGCAGTTTGCAGAGGAAGAGGACATAACAGAACTGCCACTCCTGAGGGGCTCCCCATTTCTAGGTATAACTTGGAGCATGGGTACAGTTAAAATCAATCTGCAAGTGGCCTGGTGCTACTGAGGTAAAGGAATCCATGGCAAAAGTTTTTTGCTTCTGTCTAATTTCTGATTCCATTTGTGATAGAAATGAAATTGGTCAATAACATGATGCTGAACAGTTTTTTGCAGTTCATCTACACTTAGACTAGGAAGGAAGTCAGTCTACTTCTGGAGACCAGCTAGTAACAATTCACAAATCACGCCGCTCTGATCCATAACCGATCACAGTCATTGGGGCAAGAACCCTGGAGTGCATTTTATGGGTCACAAATGGTGTCCCGAAACATGACAGTTGAACAGGAAAAAATAAAAATTCCTTTCAATGACATTTTTGGGTTCAAACAGTTACTCTTCTTTCAAGTGGGGCTTTGACTATGGGTAATAAACTGAAACATTTCGGGATCCAGATGATGCTGCCTTTGGAGAGGCCTGTGCAGTAAGTCATAGGTTGGCATGAACTTGAGGACGTGGGGAATGCTTATGAAACTGTGCCCATTGTAATCATTGCTCCATCTGAATCTAGAGAAGTGAGCTTACATGTGCTTCAAAATTAGGGAAATTGCAACCTTGTGTTGAGAAGTGGAGGACTTAGTATGTAATAACAATTTCCTTGCTTTAGCCTTAGTCAATTAGACTCAGTCCTGAGGTATTTAGTAACCCTATGAGAAAGGACTGAAACGATAGTTTTATTAATGGTAACTTTTTTCTTTTATGTGCAGCAGGATTTCATGCCAAACACACCCACATACACACAACCACCATGCATACTACCCACTCAGCTATCCACAAATTTATATACAGTCATTCTCAGAAACCCAGTCACACTCTCATGCACAGACACACACACACACTCTCTCTCTCTCTCTCTAACACCCATACTTTTTCTCTCTCTTTCTCTCACACTTGCAGTCAGACACACAAACATACATGAGGTTTTACCTGTTGGAATGAAGCTGCACCCTTCAAATGTGCTGTGGCTAGAAAGTGGCTAGTAGCTGAATGTGGTGACCCTGAGCCCCATCAGCTGCCGGTGTTCTTAGCCAAATCCTCCAACTGACACAGAAGGAAAAGTTCCACTGAGCGATGGAGTTTTCCATTGTGGGGGCAGCTCCAGATGCTTGATTCTTATCTGCAGGCTCAGGCACGTCCCTGGCAGCAGTCCTGGGGACATCCTTCTTCCAGGGTTCTTGTGAAGAATCCGTACACTATACATTTAACATTCACATGTCTTCTTAGAAACAATATACTGCAATATTTTCCCCCTTATTGTTTTGTCCTAAAAAAGACTTGTATTTTGTGGGTTAGTTCCAGGCTCTGCAGTGTTTTGTGGATGGAATTTGAGTGGACAGGCTGGCATAGTACTTGCTCCGTGCCTTGCAGAGTGCTGTATATAAAGACGGTTAATGTGTACTGAATGGACTTACATTGGATCGATGACCCCCGTAAAACACATGGGTGTCTCCTGGGTTTCCTCACTGAAACTGTTCATAAAAGAGCTTCTTTTGGTATTCTTGGCATTTCCGTTCAGAAAGGAATGTACATGTTGGTATGCAGGAGTAAAGTGTTGACAACAATAGGTATTGTGTATTGCCTATGTATACAGAGCATGCTTATTATTTTTCAGATAATAAGACCTAGAACATGACATTTTACTTATTCCATTTTAAAATTAAAGTGCAATTCGTGTCATGATTCATTATTTTATTCCTTAAATTGTTCCAGTCTGGTCATTGGGAGCTCTTTATTTTGGCTCTTGTGTAAACTTTGTAAAAATACAGATGACCTAAAGAAAAACAAAACCCAACACGCATACACAAACCAAGAAATAGTCTCTACCCTTAGTATGTAACCTGTTAATTAATAGCCATTCTTTACTTTTCCATAATAAAGTGAGTTTTTTACACAGTGCTACTTTATGATTTACTTTTTAAACTAGCATATAAGATAACTTTTTCCTGTCACTAAGTATCTACTCCACATTTAGTTTATCTGCAATGTCATTTTTCTGTGATGATTAGTATTCCACTGTACAGATATTATACACACAGGTAAGTGAATAGACCCTGAGTCACTGTTCTGTTGTGTCTCAGTCAAGATCTTCTCTATTATTCTCGATGTTGTGCTCAAATATCAATTTTAGGACAATACTGCCCTTATTAAAGTATTATCAACTCTGAGCTTTCTCCATATGTTTTACATAGAAAAGTTAGAAAAAGCAAGGAGGAGACCCTCTTGAGTCTGTTGATTCAATAATAACGTATACTTGTGTGTATATACACACATATGCATTCATGTGCATGTTTCTTTGAAATGTACTATAAAAATTCAGAACTCAAACTCATTGCCATTGTGTCAGAACCAGCTCATAGCTGAACCTCTAGTGGGTTTTCAGAGTCTATAAATCACATAGGAGGAGATTATTCATCTTTATTTCACCTACTAGGCCACCAGAGGTTTCTAAGAGCCCATGAAATACTGTGGGGTGGTTTTACCTGACCTTGTAGGGTTGCTATGAGTTGTAGTTGACTTAGAAGCAATGAGTTTAGTATCATCTGGCAACTTTTCAATAGGTTTGAGATTATTACAAAATAAAGTCTAGAAAATGTCACTGTTCATGTTTCATTTGAATTAGATTAGAACTACAAAATTAAAAGCAGAAAAGTGCCTCTGATTTTCCCATTGTGGAGAACAGGTGCAGGCCCAGTAACTGGAAGGTGAAGGGAAGGTAGGGCCTTCCAGCATTTTCTGCCGTGGATAATTTTTAGTATGGAGGTCTTCTTATGTAAAGATGCAATTTGGTAAATTCCTAACGAGGTATTGCATACTGTAGCCTTGCAGTTGACATTATAAAATGATCCTTCTTAGAAGAGAAGCCAAGTGGTCTCAGTGGACCTGAGAGGCATTTTGGTTTTCAGGGTTTTTTTTTCTTCTTTCCCTCTTAGCACCCCTGAATTCTCAAGGAAGCTACCCAGATAAAACAACTCTGAGTACTTTGAAATTTTTTTTGAAAGCAAAATTTTAATCAGTCTCCCATCTCATTCATTGTTCATACATGAAAAGAGAGGAAATCAACATCACTTCAAAATATAGATTCGAAAAATGTATTACTTTCTGATTTTTACCCAGAATGAGGTGGCCAACACTCTATTCCCTTTCTTTCCCTCTTCTTCCTCCCCCTGCCCCTTTTTTGCCTTGCAGCACATTGGGGTTATCAGGTGAATGGTGAAGACTAGAGAAAATTAGAGGATTCTGAAATATGCAGGCCTGCAGTCAAAGGTAAATTAATTTTCTGAACATCCACCTCTGAAACCAGGAGTTGTTGGATGATTTGGGATTTGGTCTATTGTGTTCTTCTGTTCCACTGTTGAGACCACACCTCTTGACTGGATCAACTTTCGTGTAGCTAGATTCAAAGCAAAATATTTCTTCCAGAGAACAAGTAATTTCCTGAAAATGAGTAATTAAGGACCTGTAGGAAATACTCCAGGGACTTTTAGCCGTACTTCCTTTGAGTAGAAAACAGACATGTGGCCCTGAACTTAAGAGCTTGAATTTTCAAAACTTTCAGGTCTCTTTATAGGATGTTTCTTTGTGGCCAGGCGTTCTGCTGGGCTGTGCCGTCTATAACATGGGTGTTTGTCAAAGAGAGACCCAGCTCGCTGACATTATAAAATATTTACAACAATGTGAATGGTTTGGATTTTGAATAAATACTTGAAAACACACGTACATGGATAGGTTTGTTTTTTATCCTTATTTTCTATAATGGCTTTAAATCTCACATCTTTGTGGTTTTTACCTGTTTATTGTGGAGGAGAGAAAGAAAATTGCTAGCATTTGGAAGGAGAAACGAAACTGGAACAAATGAAGTGTGTTGGAAAATCGGCAAGCAGACGGCTACGTTGACCATCATTGTCCATTTACATGAAACAAGGCTTGCCTGCAGATTGTCCTTTCAGGGGCCTGGAACAGGGAGCTTACGTCCTGGGACCTGAATGTGTGACAGACCTGGTGAGAAGGTCTGGCTTCTGGGCTCAGAGCTCCCTGGCCACCTCAGTCCCCAGGCGCTGGCCGTCCATGCAGAACCATGAGGCTCCAGCCACATCCCCACATCTGCATCCTGCTCCGGGCAGCGTGTCACAGAGCACACACCCACACACACCTGCTGTTACACTCACAGTGGCAGGCAATTGATGCCTCTCTCTCTTTTATTTTTTCTAATAAAAAAAAAATCTCCTGGCTGCATATCATCAAGAAAAACAACATTGTTTTCAGGGTCTCTTATCTCTCCACTCCCAAATATCCTGTTTCTTCGGGCTGGGCAGCCAGGACCAATAGAAACCTCTTCCTGCCATTGGTTGACTTCATTTCCCAGACTTAGCACAATCTCATCCGCTCTAAACAACCTCATCAAAACTACTTTCTGGTCAGAGAGAAGCAATAATTATTATTAACATTTATTAACGATCAATAAACTTGATTGCATTATGGCCAGCACTATTAAGGTAAGGAGAGGGTCTCTTTTAATTTGACAGAAATCTCGCGCTTACTGCTCTTTTCTTTGGTTTCCTTTATCAACTTAGATAAGTTAGGGTTGGGCAACACCCCCACTACCACAATAGAGGACAACAAGATTTCCTTTGCACTGCCTAGTAAATTTCCTTTTTCCTACTCCAACCATTCGCAAGGCTTAAAAACTTCAAACTCAGAAAAAAATTGGGGTTTCTAAATTCACGGTTGAGTGCTGTGGATTACTTTTGCAAAGGCTTTTCTAGAGCGCTTCTGAATTTTCATATTCTCTAACTATCCTAATGCCGCTGGCTGCGTAGTGGAGCGAAGGCCACGGACGTGGAGAGGTTGGAGGGCAGGGTGAAAAGAAAAAGATGGGCTGGTAAATGTTGGACTTTTGGACACTTCTTGACTGACTCCCTGCCGCAGGGATGCCAGGTCCCGCAGAAGTGAAGAGGTACCTGCTTGTAACGGGACATGCAAATGTTGACTTGATTTGGGGGGCCTCCAAGCTGAGCACCAAGAGTTCTTGTAACTCAGTGGTGGAAATTTGGTTTGTTCGGATCTGTATGTGTCTTTAATAAAATATCTCCGTCCTCTGCGCATGATGAGTAAGTTTTCTTCCTAGTGATGTTCGTGGGGCTGGAGAGCAACTCTTGTCCCCATATTTTCTGGGGTGTTGGTCCTGGTGTGCTTTTCTTGCAAATGTTTGTTTCTAGATGAAGGTAGAAGTTAATTGGTGCAGTTGGGAACTACCGAGGGGGCTAGTTCTTGGAAATGAAGCCAGTTTAAGGATTAGTACAAGGAAACTTCACGGGTCTGTTTTGCTGATGGTTTGTTAGACTACTTTCAAGGCCACCATGCCCCAAAGGCCTTTGTAGAAAGGTGAAAAAGCAGCAGCTGAAACAAATATTACCAGGAGGAGAGAGAAAGATGATTTGCATGCCTTTAGCTCCGTTGCCTAAAGATGAGAATCTCTTTGGTTGTGTTTTAATCAAGGGTTTTAGTTCATCTGAAAACTCTTGAAAATGGAAACTGGCCCAAAATTGGGCTAAAACCATTTAAAACAAAAAAAAATCTTCATTTGGTTTGATATGTTCGTAATCTGGAATTAGAGGATTTGATGGACACCTATTTTGTTAGCTATTTTAGAAGGGTGGTTTGGGTTCTTATTTCTCAAGGTACATCAAAGAAATCATGAAGCAGTGCTTCCGTTTAAAGAGACTTTTCTGTCTTTGTCTTCAAGAATTGGAGTTTTCAGAAATATAATCATCATAGAAAGGAATTTTAAAAGTGGGAGCCTGTTATATTCCACTTTCAATTCACAAAATTAGGAATTATTTCATTTTAAAATCCAAAATGCCACCCTTTTTGCTCTATTCTTTTACCTTAAATTTGTCCATATTTCATAGCAATTAAATATTATTTGAAATCTTGAATAGCTTGAGTGCACTCTTTTGAATCTTCCCCCCCTAACCCCTGCTTTAGAGGTACTGAAATAACATTCTTTAGATGTTAGGATAAGCTTTGCAAAACAAATAAATGTGCTGTGTAAAATATTGTTCAATTTGAAATACATATTTATGATGATTTGAAGGTATTTTTGAAGTTCACATATGTTATGACTTTGTGAAAAATTTTGGAGAATGGTTTGTATTTGTATAGGATACTATGCTGTGTCATATTCTGTTACATCGCCTTATAAATATATTGCTTATCTTCCAAGTGAACCTTGAAAATGACTTCAAGTGAATTTTTAAAAATCCTCTATTAAAATAACCCCATTTTATAGGTAACTTCCTTTAAGACATGTTTCTGTGAGGTTTCCTGGGAAAAGTAATAAGATGATTTTATAGCCTTGTTTATAGAGTGGAAAAAGGAGGCCTTGAGTCTGTTGACTACTGTTTTAATTATGTTAGTGCAAAGCTCAAATTAGCATAGGGAAAATTATGGCTGTCCGCTGGAATTAGGAAACAGTCTCTCATGCGAGCAATTTCCAGGTCCAAATGTTTTATGTTTTTTGTTGTTCCAGTAAGTTAAATCAGTTAGTTGATTAAATATCAGATGTGCTGCTGAATTTGTTACACGAGTGCTCCATATCCTAATGTTTTGTTTTGGTATTTTGCATTCATAATTTTAAGACCCTGTAAAAACGGAATAGTCTCATCTAGTGTTTATGATTCTCATCATCATTTTCCCTGGGTATTTGAAACTGAGAACAAGGTATTTCAATTGGAAGAAGTAATAGAATTTTTGGTAGGAGCTGAAACAGAGTGCCATACTATCACTAAGTGTCTGATTTTAAGATCAGATACAAAGTTCTAATATAAAATCATCAATGCAGAGAGAGTGATATCCCTATATACCAACATTTCCCAAAGATTAGATTTGAATATCTCACTGGTTCTGCGATCATTCCCTGAAAAGCAATGCCAGGTTTGCCCAAATTTTCTTACTACCCTTGAAGGAACCCATAATTACTGTTGAACTAGATTGCCTGTAGAGTTATAATCCAATCCCTTAAAGCCTTTCCTGATTCTTTAGTTTAATGCCATGGGCTGCGTGGAAGGTCTAATTAGACATGGGCTCATACTCTTCTCAGAATGATGCTGTTAAATGCATTATGAAACCTATAGAATTACAATGGAGACAAATTCAATGGAAATACAGATCTATCCTTGGACTCCAAGAGTGTGTGAGATCCATTAGCCCAAGGTTACATCAGCTGATCCTGGAATGTAAAGATTCTTGTTCTTTAAAATGGATTATGGCTATATTCTACCCTCAAAGAGATCTGGTTTTAGAGAATGGAGAGAGAGTAAACAACTGTTGGTGGGAAGCATCTTAGGACTCCTCAAGAATGTAGAAAATTATTGGCCAAACTTAGTGAAGACTTGAGAGTATGTCATTACTGGTTTATGTTTCTTTAAAGAGATTACTTGTCTTCAGGTAACAGAGCTCGGAGATTTCAGTGATGACTGAAACATGTAACACTAGAAAGTCGAGTTTACTAGTTTAAGAGCAAAATTCTTGCTTTCTGAATTTATATAGCAGACACTGGATTTCTTATGTGAAAGAAATTAATTGAAACTCAAAAGGGGTAATAAAGGAAGGCATACCCCCTTTTAAAGATGTTAATGAGGATAGTGGATTGATAGCTGGACCTAGATAATTTTTTTCCTTTTATCAACTTTCTGGCCTGGGTAAAATATGAACTGTTTGGAGTACCTCCCCCCTTTTTAGTTTTTGAGGGGTGCTGAGACAGGGGAAGGAAGCTACAAAATGCCTCTGTCCACTGAGTTAATCACATTGTGAGAGCAGATCCCATCTTCCTAGGTACCTAGAAGTAGCTCTTTGGGCCATTATTGTAAAATTACTCCGATTATGTTCCTGGGCAGCCCGTTGACCTTGCTCTTCTCTGCTCCTTCTGAGAGAGAGAGAGAGAGAGAGAGTGAGTGTGTGTGTGTGTGTGTGTGTGTGTGTGTGTACACACACCCGTACCCACCTGGCACTCTGACTTTGTGACTGTGGAAGGCAGAATCAAGAATGAGGAAATCCGCTCCTGCCTATACAAAACACTCTTCTGCAGCAAGTGTAGTGATCTCAAAGTGTGCTGTGAAACTGCATCATTTCTTAACTGACTAGATTTCCTTCTTAATGTGATTTTTTTTTACTCCAAGACAGATTGTTTTAAAACCTATATACTCTTTTAAAAAACCATGTACACTCTTGAAAACACTTAACTAAATACATAAATACAATTTATCAAGATGAATATCTTGAAGGAATTATTCCTTCTGCACCAAGAGCTTCGCAGTGGTAATCTGTTGGCAGAAAACCTGTAAAGCTGAGAATCCCTTTTCAGGTGTTTTGATTGAATGACTGACAAGGAAGAAAATTGTGGCGATTGCGGCAATACAGGGAGCCCCGGAAAACCAGACCCATGAATGTTTCCCTAAACATAAAGATCTTCAGGGAAGATCTTTTGCAGAGATGCTGTCCAGGCCCTTAGGCTTTCTAAGACTGAAAATCTTTCTAGAAAATGCACTGACACATGTTTCTTCTGGTGGGTTTGAACAGTTCACCTTTGGGTTAGCACCTAAATGCCTTAACCACAGCATGACCAGAGCTGGTGGTGCATTAACTAGCAGGCTCACCAAACACTGCAAGTTTATTTCTCCTTTCTTAATAAACGGCTTTGTCTTTCTGGCCTGACTTTTAATTCTCTTCACATTTTCTGTGACCTCAGTGGGCTCAAGCAAGCAGTGGCTGTATGACAAGATGTGACAGGGGGAAGCAGTTTTGTTCATATGAGTTGGAACCAACTTGAAAGCACCTAACCAGCTTCAACTGTGAAATCTAGCACAACACGGACTCTACTCCAGTGGTTTTGAGGAGGCAGACAGCGTCAGCAGGGTCATTTCTCTATGTTGCCAGCAGTGGCCTCCCACACCCAGGACAGTGCAGGTCAGGAGGAGGGTGCCTGGGAGAGCAGTTGAGGTCGAGGGGGGACAGTCATGGTGGTGCTGACTGGGATAGTCTCCTGAGTGTTGTTCTGAGGGTGGGGCTGGTTTTCTATGCTGCTGCAGGAAGGCAAGGCCTGCGATTGCATCTTGCTGAGGATGGGAAGTGAGCTGCTGGAACACCTCCCATTCATTGTTCTAATAATCCTGCAGCAGTTTTGAAAGATGCACCTTGTTTGATACAATTCTGAAAAGAAAAAAAATCATCATTATGCATAAGATGAAAACCAAACTTTACAAATACATAGAAATCGCTCCTCATTTAAAACCCTTCACTTAAAGAAAATCACCATTAACATGTGGGTATGTTCCTCTCTGGCCTGTTCTGAGTTCATAGCAACTTCACCTGCCTTCCACAGTACATTGTATTTATGAATGTTTCTTCCTATCTGAAAATTCTTCATAAGTATAGTTTGTATGCTGTATTCTTTCACCTCAAGTAAATAATTTTCTATTTAAATAAGAACTGTAAT